TTACTCAGCCAACATATGGCTCAAAAGCTGCAGTTTCTTCACCCAGTGTGTCCTTTATCACTGCATTTAAATCCAACAATAAAAGTTTCAGGGTTTAGTTTATTTTTTTGTGTCGCTCAGAACTGTGCACCAGCATGAGAAGAAGTGCAAAAAAAAAATTGAATCCCATTATGGTTTGGTAGCTTACGTGCTTTATATCTTTCCCAGGAAGTTTTTTAGAAACTGATGGTTTGGACATAAATTTGCCTCATTTTTTAAAAATACAGTTATTATTAGAAACACAACTTTTATTGTTTTTATTTGGCATCAGATGTCCTTCATATTGCAACTTTTTTTTTTCCCCTTTTTGTTTTCTGAGGAATCTGACAGCAGCAACTTAGCAGTTGGGATAAGTCCCAGTCTTACCCACGAGAGTTCCGTGGTTCAGACTTTACTTTGTTCATCCTGCATTTTTTGATTCAGTACTGTAACCCATTACATTTTGTGTGTAGATAGTTAGCTAGTAGGTTGAGTAGGACAAGAATTTAAGTAATTCCAGTTGTATATTTTAACCATGTCTTGTCATCTCTTCAGCGCCTGCGAATACTGTACACAAAAATCCTTAGTGTCCTGCAGAACATTCCCAAAGATGCAGCCTATAGGAAATACACTGAGCAGATTGTAAATCAGCGGTTTAATTTGGTGCAAAAGGTAAGTACAGTCCTTTTCCATAAAGGCTGCACATGAAAAGATTTTAAGGATGAGAGGAATGATTTTCAAAATGACTGGCTGTTTTTCAGGAGTATTTGTATCTTTCAGAACATTCAGAATTGAGGTTTATTTTTGATACAGACTGGAATACTTTGATGGTATATTATAAAGAAGTGTTCAATTCTTACTGATGTTTTCTGGGACAATAAAAAGAAGATAGTCTTCTTGAAGATTACCAGAACTGTGGTGATTTCCACATACCTGCCCAAATGCTGCTTATGCTCTTACCAATATGGTATCTTTTCACTGTCCTCACCTTCAACGTTTTAAAGTGCTTTTGGTACATTAAAATATGCAAAACTCGTATTGTGTATTCAGGCGATAATTGGAAAGTTGTGTGTAATTTTAGAAATGCTAAGATTAAAATTTTCTTTCAAGATACACACTAAAGCCCTTAGCCACTGATGTGTCTTTAGATGTCATTAAATAGTACTTGTTTTTTATATTTTATCATTGGAGAGTTTGATGTTTGTTTTCCAAAAAGTGTGTGAGATTACTTTGGTAATATAAAATTACAGAAGCCAGCTAATTTGATGGTACTTTTGTGGGTGACCAGAGTGTGATCTCGTTAAATAACTGTTTTCATGCTTTATGTGACCTTTCTATTTCACAGTAACACAAAAATGAAACATTTCTTTATATGTATTTCAATACACAGGAGACTGATGTGCAAAAGCTACAGGAGAAACTGAATAGTGGTCACATAGAAGAAGTCATTGTACAGGTAAATTGGGGCAGTTTAAGGTTTTAAGTCTCAGCTTGACAGGGTGTTGAGCCATCTCACATAAACTATAGTATCACTGAAAAAGGCTGTACCAGAAGATCCTTGAAGTCCCTTCCAACCTGGAATTCAATGATCCTATGAAAATTTCATGAATGACTTGATGAACAGACTCTCTGGGTATTTGGAGGTGATGCAGTTTGTTTTTTAAAAACCCCTCAAAATGCAGAGTTCCTGTTGCTATTTAGAGATAAAATCTGTAGAAATTCCTGACTGTGATAGGTAGTGACATTACTGAGCTAATGAACTGAAATAGAGGTAATTTAATACCTTGACAATTGTACAGAATTTAAGAATTTGTGTATGGTGTTTATCAACAGGCTGAAAACGAGCTTTCCCTGGCGAGAAAAATGATACAGTGGAAACCGTGGGAGCCTCTAGTTGAAGGACCTCCTTCTGACCAGTGGAGATGGCCAATATAGTTTTCAAAATGGTGTCATCTCTTGAAAGTAAAAAAAAAAGATGTTTAATAATTAATCTATTGTTACTGACAAATGTCTTTAAATTAAGGATAATAAATTCATAAAAACGCTTTTTGCTCTGATGTCCACTTATATTTGGCAGTCTTAACAACTACTTCCAATTTTTTGCAAAAATGGTTTTAAGATCATTATTCTTGGTTGTTGTACAATATTTGGTTATTTTATTTTTGTAATTTATTATTAACAGTATTTGTGCCTCATTCTGAATTATTTTTATAATCTCTATTTTTAACAAATCTGTAAAAAAATACAGATATTATAGGCCATTTGAAATCAAAGTTGCAGAAAAGTATGACCCCTCCCTTCTCTCCCACCTTTGGCTGTGTGCTTTTGCCAGCCACTGCCAGTGGCTTTATGCAGATACTGAGATCAGGGTCTGATGCAGTGAAATCTAGGCTTACCAAAAATAAAAGGATTTTTTTGTATAGAAACACTTATACTTCCAGATTTATTTGTATATTATTCAGACCTTGAATTTTACTTAGCAATATTAAAAAAAACAGTGAATCTTTCTTGACACATCTGGCTAGGTTCTTGGAAACATTTGAATGGAAACAGTGCCTGCCTCTTTGGTTACAGATCTAAGCTTATAAGCCCCCATTAAAATATTCACACTAGATTTGAGGATACTGTGCAAGTTTGCCTCTACTCACGTATTTTCATTACCATTAAGTTTTTGCAAGTTTAACGATAAGAACATGTAGCCATGTGACAAAAATTTATGATAGTGTACCACTGCACTACATTACATACTTTGTCATAGCTATTTTTTTCATAGTCATTAGGGCTGTAAGTTTACCTGTGACATTAATATCTTACTAATACTGTAATCTATATAATAATCATATATTCAAGGTATTATGGGAATAGGGCAGCAGTAGAGAAAACCAGTAAGTACTCCTAAGGTGTAGATTAGCAACTACTTTCACTGCATCCCTTAGCATTTTTTTTTTTTTCAACTATTACTATAATTATGGAAATTTTAGATTTTGAAAATCCAAAAAGCCAGAAATACTTTGCTTTGTTAGTTCCTTTTGAGGACTTTTTCAGTCTTGAAAAAGGTGGAAGCTGGTTTCTTTTGTTGTCAAACCACTAGATGGCATTCCAGATGAGGACTTTGCTGAAGTCAACACACAATTTTCATGGGAGAAGTATTAAAGGATTACGAACTTGAATAAGGGTGAACGATGTCATGAGAAAGGAAGGTTAACGGTTTTAGGTAATTAGTATTGAGCTGATGTGAGAGGAAGCAAAATAAAAAATCAACTGGCATCCAGTGCTTGAGGGGGGGAAAAAATGTTGCCAGAATAGTGACAGCTCTTGTAATTCTTTCTACTCTTTCAAAACTGAGACATTAGCTGAACTGTCTTTTTGCTCGGTTGTTTTCTCCACTTTTAAAGTTGTTATTTGTCATGTGACTTAAAATAGCTCTCCTATGAGCTCACAAGTTGTGTTGCTGGGGAGAGGAAGTCTCTTGGTCCATTGCTGCTGAAATTTGATACCTTGTCTTCTAAAACTGAGTTTCACTGATCAAAAGTGTACTCATCTTCCTTTCACAAGTATGTCCTCAATATGGACCCTAATATTAGTTGTTTACTACCCTGAGGATTGGTTGGTATTTTTTAGAGCTGTATTTCCTAATTTATATGCTCAGTAATTTTTCTGGTCTGTAAATGTTTCTTTGATGTGACTCAAAATAGGATCAATTTCTAAATCTTTCTATCCAAAACACTTGATTAGCCTTCACAAATGCTTTAATTGAGAAGTCAAGTAACTTGAATCTTAGATTCTACTGAAGCAAAATCAGAATCATTAAGAAGGATTTTTCATTTTTCAGAGCTTTTTATCAAATCTCAGAATGGATTTTTTTTTCCATTTTTCCTTATTATTGGATACATTTGGTTTCATTATCTTAGCATAGCATCTGTGCTACCTAAGATTACTAAATTAATTAGTACTATGTTGTAGCAGCAACTTTAAGTAGCAGTTATTGAGAAAAATGGGAGAACAGAAAATGGATTGCAGTTTTGAGATGTAAACGTTTGTCTTTTGTAGTGTTGTGTAGTTCACGTCATCTCTGTTCCTGGCTAATTCAAAAATACATCTTTGCTAAGAAAAGAAACAGTAATTTTTACCTTGCTATTAAGTCTGTCACTGTATATTTGATATTTAAAACCACACTAGAAACAAAACAGTACACACATTTTACAGGCAAGTGAGAATCTGTATTAGGAGTACTATGTTGCAAATAATTTATTTTAGGATTAATATACTAGTGAGGCATAATTTGGAGACTATTTTGCTTGATTTTTCTCCATTATATTGAAAATACATGATGATGCAAAAAAATTTATCATGATCTGTAATATGGTAAAGTATATCACTGCAAGCCTTAGAGTTAACAAGCTTCAGATCTTTAAAACGCTTTGAAATTATCTTAACAAAGTAATTATTTGAGTGAAAAATCATCCTAACTGCAAGGATGGGACTTAAGCGACAGAGTGTTAAACCAGAGAAACAGCTCTTGCATTGTCATGTAGCAGCAATACTGAGGTGTTTTTTTTATTTCTGCTCTCTGTGCTGCTTAACCTATTTTGAGTGGCTGGATTCTGAACAGGACACTGTTATAACCTTTGGCATAATTTCTGGTAGTGTTCATAGGGAGAGAACTGAAAGCAGCTGGTTTTGTTTACAGCATATATGGTATTTCATTAGAAAAAATAGGAATATCATCTAAACTGAAATTAGTTTGAATGTTTAATCAAATTGACTCTATAATAGTGACAAGGTGACTACAAAATGATACAGTATCTTTTCCACAGAGTTACTGCTGGTCCTATTCTGCCCTGCTTCAAGTTCAATCCAGGTTTTAGGAAAAAAGAGCTTTTATAGTAGGGGAAATTTCTGATAGGAAACAGGCCTGTGTTCAAACACCTAACAATGTCTGTGGAACACAATAGCACTGATAACGCATACAGCTACTGAGTATGGATGTAAGTTCAATGCCTGCTGAAAAACACCTGTTTTTTAGCATTCTCCCAAAGCTGTGGCACACACAGTGTAGTTTGCCGCTGAAAGGGCTGTGTGAAGTGAGTGTCACCTCAGTTTTCCTGGAGCAGGCTGAAACACTTGCGATAGTTGTCTCAGAAATGCCACATCAAACGCCAGGAAATTCTGTTTCTCGTGGATTTAATCTGGTGTAAATGCGTGAATTTCCCCTCAGCAGAGCTGCAGGCCCCGTCCCCCCGGGAAGCGCTGCCACGCGGTAGGAAGCGACGGGCTGCGGAGGGAGGGCCGTCACCATCCAGCCACACC